CACTGAAACATTTCCCAAGTCCAGTAGCACAGCTGGGGTGATCTTGTACCGCCCTGTTTGTTGATATATGCTACCACTGTCGTGTTGTCGGTCTTGATTAGAACAGACCGACCCACTACGTCTACTTGAAAGTGGTGTAGGGCACTGACTACAGCCTGGAGTTCTAGAACATTGATATGTAGGGACCGAGTGTTGTCGTCCCAAGTGCCTGCAGCTTGCCAGATCGAATTTAGCATCAAATGTGGCACCATTTTGCATCTAGCCCATCCTCCGTATGCGAAAATTTTCCAAAGGGGAGGGGGGCACCCCCTCCCCTTAGACCCCTCCCCCAGGAAGTCGATCCGTATCCACCTAAGTGCCCCCCCCCCATCAAATGCTGGTGCCCCCCCCCATCAAATGCTGGTGCCCCCCCTGTGCCCCCCCAGACTGAAAAGTCTGGTGACGCCACTGCTTTCCAGGGACCTATGAAATTTCTGAGACGACCCCCGACGGGCCCCAGTGTCGGGGTCGGCTCGGTAGGGGCGTCACCGCCGCCACCCAGAGCGGGGGGCCGATTGCCCACCGCCACGTCCCCGGCTGCTAAATTGGCGTGCAGGGGCAGAGTAGGGGCGTGGAGCTGAAACCATTGCACCAGCTGATGCCTTGGCCGTCTGTTGGCAAAAAGGCTTGAATGGTTTCTTAAGGGCAGGGTGAAACGAGGGAGCACCCTTCGTTGCCTTCTTCCCAGAGAACTTGGGCTTGTTAGTGGCTGAAGGCTTCTTCAAGCTCAGTTTGTCTGCTGTCTCAATTCGTTTGGCTTCAACTTCCAGAACTTCCTGGAATTTGCCTCCGAAAAGGTCTTTGCCCATAAGAGGAAGGTCTTCTATCTTCTTCTTAGCGCCCTCGTGTGGTATGTAAAGTGCATCCATCACGTTAGTCCTACGTGACTTGGCAGACAGGATAGAGATTCTCGTAAATTGGTCTAGAGAGAAACGGAGTATTTCGTCCAGACACCAGAAGGCTGCTGCTAACATATCGGCTGGAATTTGTGAATCTTCCTCACATGCGCAGACGATATATTCAGATAACAGAAGTAAAAGGCGCTTGTTTGTGAGCCAAATCTAGCCACCTCATCGACCTTCTTCATTGTATCCTCCATCTTTGCTCTAGTCTTATCGACAAATATTGACTTGGTCGGGGCTTTGCCGCTATCTCCAGTCAATTTGTCCTTGGCCATATCCGGAATAGAAGGAACCGTAAAGAAATCGTTTCAGTCCTTTTCTGGAAATTGGAAATAGGCTGCCGACCTTTTGTTGAAAGCCGTCCATTTCTTTGAATCGGCGATGCGTTGTATGCGATCGGCGCATAAACGATCCACCGGCATAGTTGGGAAAGCTGGATCCCAAGTTTGCCAGGGTCAGTGGCCTCATCATCCCCAGAGCACTCATCTTGTGAGTGAGTGGAAGGGGGGTGAGTATCATCGACATCTATGTCAGGAGCATCTTGAACAGAAGTGCCCAAATTCATAGATGGGTGTAAGGAAATTCCCGCCTGTGATCTCGGGGGCGCCCAATCACGGCCCAGAGTAGGTGGATTATCTGAGCAGACACTGATGGCAACCCCAGGATCTGGGGGCCCAGTGTGTTCCCCTCTCATCCTGCCCGAAATCGGCAGGATTGCGCCCGGATCCGGCTGAATTAAGCCCGGATCCGGCCGGATCACGCCCGGATTCGGCCGGATTGGACCCGGATCCCGCCGGATCATACCCGGATCCGGCAGGATTAGACCCGGATTTGGGTCCGGAAATGTGACCGCCAGGAGTGACCTCTGAGTCACCGTTGGGGCCGATCTCCATTGTTGTTGTTTAGTGAGGGCTGCTAGCGAAACGTTGATGTCCTGGAAAGCTTTTAGAAAGATTTCCGTGGATACACCTTTGTTTTTCTTTTTCCGATGCGTCGACTTACAGGGGGAATCCCCTGAAGAAGACGGCGCTGCCTTGTGTTTCCTTTTCTTACTTGGGTGACTTGATTCACTGGATGAAAACTCCGATAATATCCTGGGAATTCCTGAGCATTAATCAAAGAACGATGTTGACTGCGCACCGCAAGTCCTGCCCATTCTGCACGGGTGGAAGCAGGAAGCTCGGAGTGCGATGAACGCGCAGACGGGGCCGGTGAGGATTGAATCCTTTTACCGCTCCGTGACTGGTCGTCCCCGAGGGTTGCTGGAGCCAGCAGACCGGGGGGACGAGGCGAAGAAATTCCCGTGAAACCACGGGAAATCGACGCCGGGTTGCTAGGTGACGCCGATGGTCCGGAGACCGGCGGCGTGATCGAGCGACTATTGGTCCCTTTTTGGGTCTTACCCTTGGGACCGCCGGTGGCCTTTGATGCGGCCTTTTTTTTTTTCAACGAAGAAATATTATTATTAAATAACTGTACAACAGAAATAATAATAATAACTCAGGAAAGCTGACTTGGTTAAAAGGGGATTGCACTCGATCCAAAAGGGATAACCCACGATGCCTACCCGGCACTGGGCTAGTCCCGCGGTGCCGACCTGGCACCCCGCACCTGGTGTCAGACAAAGGCTGAAAAGCCTGCTACGCCACGTGAAAGAAAAACGAAAGCAAAATGACTCCAAAATCACTCCAAATGAGAAGTACTTAACTGAAACCAAACTCTACAATATTCTACACAACTCACTTGGTTGATAAATTCTATAAAACAGAAACTCTTATAGCGAAAATTGTACAAAAACTCGTCAAAAGGCGAGAGCAAAATTTTTTGCTTCTGCACGATGCCGTCGCTAGAAAAAAAAGAGGAAGCATAATGGCGGATTCATGACGTAGCATAATGGGTAGGCCCCGAGAGGGCGCTCGTTGGTTGATTAAATCTTTTAGCGTTTGAGCCTGTCGGCTGAATAAATATGCATATGTAGTAGCTATTTGGGTAAGTGAATGAAGTAGACTCTATGTATTTATGTAGCCCGTGCGGTACGCTGAAGTGCGCCTCAAGCGGTTATGAGACGCGCGTGTACTGTAACCATGGAAGGCGCCATGTTCGCACATGTTTTGGCGAAATTCCCGCAGTGAAATGCCAAGATTCTTAAACTGTTAGTTTGACATTGATTGAAATCCTACAGCTTGTGGCTCTCAGGTGTACCCTGATATTTTGGGGATTAACTTGATCCGTATTTTTGCTGCCTGGACAGTCACAGTCTGGAACTCTGCTCCACATCTTGAGTGGATCAAGCCGTTGGTGACTGGACTGGCCACATGTGAGTTTACACATGTTACATCTTCACAAGGACAGGAATTACATGTATGCTGTCTGCAGTTGGTGAACTACCGTAACAGGAGCATCCCTCACATCAGTCTGTCTCCAAGCAGGAGGGATCTTGTGAAGGAACCGTTTACTGTGTAGCGTATACAGTGACGTTGAACTTCTGTGGTTTCGCCGGAACTCCACGAAGTGAAGAGAACTGAACTGACTAGTCAATCAACATTTTTGGATTGGGACTTGATAACCTTAGAGTGACATCAAGAGTCTCAAATATCCTTGTTTGAATATATTTAGGGCCCTAATATTGTCTGTATACCGGTATTTTGTTTTTGTCAGAAAGATAAATGGTTGTTTATTCATAAAGTGTCATTGTTGACCTAAACATTTACATGTAGGCCTACTTAAAGTTTTTCTTGATTATCATCATCAGCGCTGGTGTTATAGATTTTGATCTAGAGTTCTGACCGAGTTTTCAAATTAAAGGTTTTCTAATTCAGTATAATTTACAGACTAAGTAGTGGTTTGTTCATTTGTCTGACCCAAGGTGTGTTGACCCCAATGTGGTCCATGTGGCTTACATTTAAATCAGTTGCTAGGAATTTACGACAGTTGTTATTTCACGAGCAGTTGAACACGCATATCATCTAAGTATATTCCGAATTTCAGCTTAATCTGTTTTTGCTAACACTTGGGTTACACATTGAACCATCTTTAAGGAAAATTTTGGCGAGGAATTTTAGCAACTAAACGTGTACGGTTTTCCTATAGCACCATAGGCGCTACGGTTCACCGATTTCGGCCTGGCCACACAATGGACGATCACATATTAGCATATTCATTAGCGTCACTCGGCATGACTTGGCGTGGGTCTCGGTATCGACCAATGGAAGCCGGCAAAAAGGGTGATATTTATCAATTACTAACTCGTGAAGGAAGCTTTTACGCAAATTTTTACTGCATACCATAATAGATACGGAACCTTACTAATATTTGTGAGGCTTGAAAAGATTGACAGACATTGTTCACGCCAGTGTTACAGCTTTCAAATATGCACATAGTCAGGCCTATTTTTCCAATTTCAATGAAAAGTAAAGAACATATTACAACGATTGTTAGCACATATTTGGATCATTATAAGGGAAATAAACCCTGAAAGATGCACGAAGATAAGGTCTTCCAAACAGGGGAAATTAATTTTCAAAGATTTCGCCCGCCAAGTGAACATGTGTGTGTACATGTACATGTAGTTTCATTCAAAATAAAGTGTTACGTAACCTTTAGAAATCACCCTTCACAACCACATGGCTGAAAGTCCCTATATTTTCCAGCACTTTCCCGATTTATCAGATTTTCAAGGGTCGGCAAAGACATTTGTCCCTCTTTCCTCATGAGGCCCATGGCCAGGAGACAGTTCTCTTGAAAAGTTGAAGAAATTGACTGGAGCGGTGCTTGAACCTGCGACCTCTGGATTACTGCTCCAGTGTTCTTCCAACCGAGCTATCCAGCCCCTTGTTGGCAGTTCCCCAATTCCTCAATATCTTTGTGGTTCATTTCAAGGTCTGCTTATTTGATAATCAATCTATAGTTTTATGTTACAAAAACAGGCTACTTGCTTCGTGATGACATCTATTTATGTTTTTGGGCTTACACACTGACTGGCAAGCATTTACAGCGTTCCAGCGAATTAAAGCACAAATGAATTAAAATCTGTAACAGAAATTAACATTGTATACAAACCTTTTGACCGGAAACGAGAACTTCATCAACAGACTTTGTGACAAACTTGACAAGACTTCCAAACTTCTCTTTTTTGTTTTTTCCACGAACATTCAACTGTGATTAATAAGGGGGAAATAAAAATGAACATTAGAAAGACAGTATATCAGAGTTTAAGCGCATGAACTGCAACCATGTGTCTTGTTTAAGTTTGTCTAATATCGCAAACAAGTTTTAAGGGTTTGGGGGCTTTTTGTGTGTGCAAATTCAACAAATCATTAATGTCATTTTAGGCAGAAACTTATGTGTTACAGACGCTTTGATATAAAAAGATGAAAGAATTATGAGGTTTTACAGAAACCTACCGGTAATGAGTAATATGATGCTTTTCATGTAGTGTTTTACGACTGATTCAGTGCATGCAGCAGCATAGCCAGGTTTCTCATCCCAGGAGGCGAGTAGGGAGGAGGGGGAATTGGATGTTACAGTGGGGAGGGGGGGGGGGGCACTCATTCGTACTGAAATGTACACACAACCTCCGTAAAATCAGTGGGGGGGGGGGGGCCTGAACACCATCTTTCCATTACGGCATTAGTTTTCAAGGTCAGACAATAGGTAACGCTATTCAATTACCACACACATTCCAATAATCAACCAATAGTGACAAATGGGGTTTTCATGAAAAAGAAAAAGAAAACGTGAAAAAGGCATGTTATCTTAAATGAGCTTAAAGGGAATATACATCATTTGCTTTTGCTGTAATTTTCAGAAATGGATGGAATTGTGGGGTTGGAAATATAAAGCAAATATAGTTACACTGACTTTTTGGAGGTTTTGGGTTCGAAAATGCTATAAAAACCAAGAAAAACGATCATTTTCCTGTAGTCTGGTTCCCTGACTCCATATAAGAAGAAACACAGCAGTTTACATACATTGGGGAATTATAAGGTCAGGGAACCAGTCTAGCTGGCTCGTACCCGTTCATAGGTTTGTAATCGATTGCAAACAAGTGCAATGGTCAATTGGGGCCAGTATTTGAAACAAAGCCAGTTGTTTCCAACGCTGATCGGCCGATCAGCGTTGGAAATTGATACAAAAAAAACACTTTTCTTGAAAATGACAGTATACCAGGTGCCATAATTTTACAGGATGCTTTAGACTGTCATTTACCAACATCCTATTAAGGTATTTCGCAAAACCTTGGTAGTTTTATTTTTCGATGTTTGCAAATGTTGTATATTCCCTTTAAAGCATTGTAACTTAGATGACTTAGTGGGCCAGGAACTGGGGGGGGGGGGGGTTTGACTAATGGGTGACAAGTTTTCGCGGGGCCCCCCCCCCCCCCCCCCCCCAAGCTGCTGAGTGCATGACAGTTAATGAGAAACCGTTATGCACAAATAATTTCATTTAGACTTCAAATGATATGGTTTACAAACTTTATTAAAGCCATACAACACTCCAATCACAGCTTGCCTTCTTAACACAGATGTGTCATTTTCTACAAATCTGTTGACATTTAATAACAATTCAGATTTTGAGCGGAAGAATCATTAGAAAAATTTGAGTTTTGGAAAAATGGGGAAAAACGCAATTCTGATTAAAATCAGAAAAGATTCATCCCTACCAAAAGGTAAAACAAAATAATTTGCAAAAACAAATTACCTCTCCTTTATACTCCAGGAATACCTTGAAGTTGTGATCATTTCGAAGAGTTGGGTGTGCAGCTAGCCGCTGCAAAAAAACTTCATGCATGGCAACAGTCTTCTTAAATGTGGCCAGGTACTCTCTGTCAAATAAACATTTACTGAAGTTGATTTATTCAGGCTACACCAAATATTTTGAACTGTGGACATTTCCGTGCTTTCAATCAACAATATGGTAAGACAGCAAAATAAATACATAAATGGTATGACAGTTCTCCACAGAATACAGTCCATGGGCCATACCTCCTACAAGGGAAAAATTCAATGGAGTTAAATTATTCTGAGTATACATCTCATTATCAAACAAAGAATATAAATGTCTACATTATGAGTAGACTGATCTATCATTGTAGAATCGCGTTAGAATTGTGTCAATGTAGCTTATGAAATACATGATATACAAGTAGACGCTGAATGCGCACAATCTGAGACAACAAAACTTTAATAGTGTACAAAAAACTCCACAGGGTTGTCTAAGAGATATAGGCTTACTCTCAAACAGGGATATGTCAATTACATACTGACCAAATAGACACTTTAAAAAAAGCAGCAAGTAAATAATGTGTATGTATACTGGTGTAATCCCAACCAAAAATAGGGTTTGTAACAGAGAAGGGTGAAAGCCGTGAACAGGATTCCGAGCTTGTATTTCTGCGCAATTTTGATCAATTGGGCCCTAACACAGCTCTTTTTTGCAATGGAGTACAGGCAATGATTTAAAGGGCAGTAAAGACCTTTTCCATTCAAAATGAAAGATAAAGAAATAAGCTTTATTTGATGTGTGTCTCACACATTTTGGAGGGCTGCAAGTATTTTTCCTGATTATTTGAAGAGGGCATAATTATCACAGTAATTTGGTCTGTAACCACATATTCAAGAAGCTGCTGTTTGTACTGTCAGGATTGATGTGCATTCACGGTGCTTTGACCAAGTTCAAGTGGTATTTTTGTAGGTCCTCAAATATTTTGTAGGCCCAGAACTTTTTGCAGGCTTTAGGCACAGTACCTGCATGTACTGTGCCTATTTGATAATTTGGCCCTGCGCTTGGGGTCTTCATCTGCCCCCATCTGCCCCATTACTACATGGCTAATCGGGTGTAGTGGCATGTGTGACAATTTGAATTTGACCAATGACAGCTTAGGCTAATCATGTGGTCTGAGCATGGTCTGATTGCTGGCTTGTCCCAAAAATTTAGCAAAGCTTTTGCCACTGTGCTGACTGCATGTCTGAAATTTTCATCAGCCGATTTCACATTTTGTATATGCACAAGATAAACTTTGTAATCCAAGCATTGCACCAAATATGCACCAGATTTGGTTAGTTCTTTGACCACTGCACCATTTTCTCAGATTAGCACTTACATGCATGTATATGCATCAAAACCTAGGGGCAAAATTGGCTCTCCATATTTGGCAGTTGACTTTACAGTCCATATGTAACTCCCCTACTGAGTGTGGAAGATTTGAATCCAGTTAATTGACAGTTAAAGCACAGTGGTGGAGGCAGTTTAGAGCAGCAGTAGCATACACTGCCTAGAAAGTACGCATTGTGCTGTCATCGAAATTGCAACATTTTTGCCATACTTTGCATCAGCAGAGATGATGGGCATATTGTGCATTTTTTGTGAATTCCCTTACAGATGCTTGCAGGGAGCTTGCCACAATCTGATCAAGCTTGTGAAAAGCTAACACAAGTTTGCAATTCATTCTGCAAGAAAAATACAAGCTTGTTGCAAGCTTGTGTGATAGCGGCAAGCTTGCCTGATTGCCTGCAGCAAGCCTGTGGCAAGCTTGCCTTGCGGCAAGCCTGCATGCCACAAGCGTGATAGCTTGCAAACTTGCTTGATATCCTGCAAGCTTGCTTGATAGCTTGCAAGCTTGTAGTATACTTGCACTATACTTGCAGTATACTTGCGGCAAGTTTTCTGCGAGCTTCAAGCTTGCAAAACAAACGTGTCACATAAGTTTGCTGCCAAATTCTGAAGATTTCAGAAGTTTGATGTTTCTATAAAAATAACCATTTGAAAATTTGACTAAACCAAAATTGAGATGGGCAACATTTTGGCTTGTAAATCACTGCTTAACGCTTGGAAAGAATTGTGAGGGTCTTACTATTCGATTCAAGTCTTATTTATTTGACGTACATATAAAAAGGCTAAGTAATAAATCATTTTTAAAAAGAACACATGAAACAGCCGTTTTGCTGGCAGGGATTCCCCGAAGAACGCAATGCAAACAGTCAGCTCCCGTGTTACAATTGCGTACTAATTTAGGGGCTGTGATCTGGGTAACACGACGCGTCAACTACACATCCAAAATATATAGTTTGCAGACAGCACATGCAAAAAGCGGAAGTACACCTGACGCACAGATTTTGTGCACACTTCACCAAGTTAGTGACAAAAGGGGACAGTTTGCTGCGTTCTACTAGTAGTAGTACTAGTGGTACAGCTTCAAAAACATGGACAAATGGAATTTCCTTCTCCAGGTTGCTAATTTAATTCGAATCCTGATGGTCCTGACAGTTTTGTTTACGAAGTGAGGATCAACGGTGACTCCATCTAGACCACATGCTCCATCGGCTTTGCAAGACATGTTCAACAAGCTGTTGGCTGCAGCAGTTTTGACAGCATTTTTATTGGGACAGTAATGATATTCAACAGAATTGCATTGAAATCATAACCTAAAGTGCTTTGTAACTGGATTAAACTTTTTGAATTACATACTGATTTCGAGTAGAAGAGTGTTAGCTAGAATGACAAAAAATGGGGCATAATAATACTAGTCACGTCACCATGGTCACCCTGAATAATTTATATAAAATTGCATGGTTTATTGGCTTTTGTTCTGATTTTTAATTTGGGGGGGGGGCTTTTCCGCTGAACAGCGGAAAGGCTTTTTTTTTTGGTTCTGATTTTTTTCTTCTTCTTCTTTTTGATCTTTTTGGGTCCACCACAAATCCCATTGACTTTGTACACGGTTTTGGTGGGACACACTTTTGACTTATCTCAGGTAAAGACCCTATAGTGAAGTTGTGTCTTGAAGAGTGACGTCATGATTACGTCATCATTGGTCACATGACGTCATCACAAACGTGCATATTTGGAAGGCCTATATCTACAGAACTGTAAGTTCAATTGGGTTGAAACTCGATACGTTTGTAGACCGGGATGTGTTATAGGCAAAAATTGAGGTGACGTCACGATGACGTCATCGGGAGATTTAATATAATTTCTTTTAATTTTTTGGAGCTTTAAGCCATATCTCATTAACACAAAATGCAAACTTGAAAATTCTTTTTGCATTATGTTTGTTAGGTAATATGTATATGCCCAAAATTTAGAAAAAAAGTGTGACGTCACGATGATGTCTAGAAAAATGCCATTCTTGAAAACACATATAAGGGAAGGCCATATCGTCATGAAACTTGGTGGATTGGTAGATGGTGTCCTAAGTATGCAAAATCTGAAATGACGTTTTCCTTCCTCCATAATGAAACAACAAACATACACCATGTCGCGGACTCCCAACTTGTGGTTCTATAACATGTAATGCTAAACCCAGAACCAGACTTAAAAATGCATTTCTCAATTCGTGGTTTCATCATTGGTTTGGGGCGATTTCTTATTAAGCTCTTGGTGGAACGCTGGCTAAATTTATGTACATGTACCGATTTCACACAAAAATGGATACGGACGGGCCCACCTTTAAATAATCAGAAACAGTTTTGTATAATGCAATTAGGTTTTGACATTGTCAGCGATCAGCGAACAACAACCAGTTATAAGACCGAAGTTTCACATCTTCCTATCTGTGACGTGAGCTAGCAATGGAAACTGTTGGTTGGGTACCATACAGCATACTTTATGTCTTTGGATTTTCGTAATAGACTGGTGCCTTGTATTCCTTCCTCCATTAATGCGCATAGCAGCCGAGAAAGTAGAAAGTTTTGGCACATCAATAAGGGCAAAGTTAACCTCCTTTATCCTCTCTTGCCAGGAAGAACCCTGGCAATTCCAGTATCAAGCACTCCAGTGGAAAGAGTCTTTAGCCGCGGAGGACTAGTAATCAGACCTCATCGGGCTCGTCTAGTTGACAAGTTGCTGTCAGACCTGGTCAGTGTTCTGAAGTCAAACCACGTGAGCATGTAACCCTGTTGGAGAGGTTACTGTATACAGGTTTACATGCACACGTCGTTTTATAAGTGCCCCCATTAGTTGGATGGCGATCAGCTGGCACCCCCCTTTTTATTTTTATTGAGTCAAATGTGGTGTCACCACATGTAGTAGCCCGCATTTAAAATAAAAAAAAAGGAAAATGACTTCCTCTCTTGTGTTTGTTGCTTTTTATTGTATTTATTGTATAGTGTTCAAATATTTGTGACTCGAATTGACTCGAGCTAAGTACTTGACTCGACTCGACCACACACTCGACTCGAGTCACAAAAATCAGTGACTCGTTACAACTCTGCCTTTTAAGCCGTATCTCACAAACGCAAAATTCAAAAATCCTTTTGTAGTTAGTTTGTCAGGTAATAGGTATAAGTACAAAATTTTTGATGTCACGATGACGTCATCAAAAACGTGATTTTCCAAAATGCATATAACAGAAGTTCCCATCGTCATGAAACTTTGTGGATAGGTAGATAATGTCACAAGTATGCAAAATTTAAAATGATGTCACAATGACGTCATCGGTAGATTTTCTTAATATTTCAGATTGTATTCCGCTTACTAAATTTTGCACTTTCTTTCATGGGATTGATGTCAAACTTGGTGCACATCAAGACCACAATGAAAACATGTGCATTGACAGGTGTTGTTACGATGACGTCATCGCGGGACATGTGACATCGATCATGTTAAAAGGTGTATATATTAAAGTCATATGTGGAGAAATTAGTCCTGTAACTACGGTATGCTCTTGCATATGGAAACACACAAAAAGAAATACGGAAAAGCCCTATGTTCTGTTCATCGAACAGACATAGCTCTAGTTATTTTCTTTATTAAATAATATCAACATTTCTAATAGTATATCAATAAAATGATTTCAAAAATGAGGCATACAAACAACCTCTTCAA